TCTATGGATTCCACTCAATTCATGAGTGGCTAATCCTTTTATACTTTCTTTCCTTTGGTGAATTCAATCAATTATATATGGGGAGATCTTTGTTCTTCATAATTTGATTTATCTATTGAATATGTTTCTTAATATCTGTTCTTAATCTTATACTAGCATGATTTGAATTGGTTAGATCACGACTAATCTTGATAATTGTGTTGGTTATTGCTAAATCAATTCTGGTGAGATGACTAGTAACTAGGTTGATTATTTGTAGTAAATTGAGTACTGTGATATGGCTCAATGAGATTGTCAAACCTTATTAGATCTAGGCCGTGATAAGCTAGAAACAATAAGTTTGGTTATATTTATTTATGCATGTGAGAATTAATTGATGTGCTTAATGCTTTATTCTTTACAAATCTTAAACCATGATGGCAAAGATGAGTTTAGAATAATTGGGGTTTATCGCTGTGAAATGGGTAAATCTATTTAGCATGTTAGGGTTTTCCTTAGACCAATTATTCAACAGTATTCGTCTTAATAGTGAAGGGTTGATGTTTTATACTTGATAATTCTTAAAGAGCGACAGAACAGATTTATTGAGGTAAAATTAGATCTGGATTTATTTTGATGATGTTAATCAAATGAATATGTTTTGTGTCGATGATCTATATCTTAATTGATTGATTTCAACCATTGGAAAGGAAGTATGATTTTAAATTAGTTGTTTTTATTTCTTTAAAAGTGTTTTCTTTATTTATTGTTTTCTTGTAGTCTTTAGGTTTATTTTCATAACCCTCTTTGTTCAAGTGTTCTTTATAGATTATGTTTAGAAATTGATTTTTCAGTTATTCCCTCCCTGTGGGATCGACCCTTACTTATCCTATCTACTTAAGAGAGGTTTTGTGAGGTATTTTATTTTGTGATTCGTTGACGACCGGTCACAATTTTGGCGCCGTTGCCGGCGAGGAAGAAGGATAACACGCGAGAGGATCATTTTCTTAACTTAGTCTTTTCTTTATTTTTTGTTCTTGTTGTTTTCTTTTATTTTTCGTGGCCTATCACTTTTTACTTCATTTTAGGATTTTGGCATCAAAATGGAGTACTCTTTGCTTGAATTAAAAGAGAATTTGGCTAGGATAAAAGAAAAAGCATCTCACATTGAGATGCAACGATCTAAAATGGAAGCAATGATCAACTTTGTTAGAGACCAATTCATCGTTCTACCTGAAGATATTTACAAGTGTATGACCATGATGAAAGCGCAATATGCCCAATTTATGTCGGAGGAATCTCAATTGGAAGCAATGCTCAACTTTGCTCGTCAAAATTACCAATCTTCTCTCAAAGAATCTGATGCGAATATGACAAGTAAGAGTGTCAATATTCCAGTGGGAAAGCAACATGAGGCAATGCAACATCCTAAGGTGCTGCAATGTTCAGAAGCATTATCTCCATCATTGAACATCCCCAAACCCATACAAGAAGCGGAGAAAGAAGATGAAGAGGACAACATTATGGCTTTGGATGAGGATGATTATTCACATGAGACAACATACGAAGACGAGTCAATGGAAATTGTTCCAACAAAAGATGTGTTAGTCAAAAGTGAAAACAATGGCGTATCACACGAGTACGAGGATGATTCATCATCTGAAACAAGAGTGGAGGAGGAACAAAACATGGAGATCATTGAAGCAACATCCCCACTTGAGTGTGAGTATGTCGAAAAGGTAGAAGAAGAGGTTGAGAGCCAAGCCATGATCGAAAATTAGGATTGTGAGGAGGCAGATTTTTTGGGGATTGAAGCGCTCTTGCAACCTAGATGCGATGGGATTCCAAATGACAAGTGGAAACTCAATGACTACTTTGTCAAAGCAACCACATCCTACAAAGGTGAAAAGGAGATGTCTACGAAGTTAGCTTGGGCTAATACCGCAATTTTGAGCTTAAAGAGGATTGGACACCAACCGATTACATCAACAACAATGGCTCTAGCTACACTCGCAATCCATGGAGTTGATCAAGATGAATTTGGTGAACTCTTTCCATCTCTTTTCACTTTTCAATGCCCTTACAATTTTCTTTTCCATTCTTACCTTATTTTTGCTCTAAAGTGGCAAGATCCACCTTAACAAAGGGAGATGGAGGAAAGTCTAGCCAAAGACATTAAACAAAGGCGCTACTTGGGAGGCAACCCAAGACTAACAACTTTCTCTTTCGTTTCTTTTTATTTTTATAGATTTAGGAAATTTTGCATTTTCATTTCTTTCTTTTTAGGTTCAACTAGAGGAACATGGCAAGCAAATGGAGCTTACGTTTGGAAAAGAGAGAAGTCTTCTTAAACTCAGCTCCATTTAATTTAATCTCTTATGCTTTAATGGTTATTGTTGTATTGTGAGATTGATTGCCTATCCCTTGAATTGAATTATTTCACATGCATATTTCATTGTATATTAATAGTTCATGCATTTCATACACATAGAATCCTAAGTGACTAGAACTTTAGGTAGCAAGAGAAGTTTTGGTTATGGAGAAAGCAAGTGTTCACGAATTGTTAGATTTTCGAATTTTTATCAATCATTGGACATTTGTTTGATTAGAATTAGGAGTCATATTGCATTGGGACTATTAGGTTGAAACGACCTCATAACAACCCAACACACCACCATTTAACTACCATCATCCATTTTTACCACCTATCTCCAATTCTCTATCATCCACCTCCATTCGAAACTTTCCCCAACACCTCAAAACTCAAACACAACTCACCTTAATCCTCAAATCACTACTCTTACCATTTATATTCCGTTCCTTACACCTTTTATTGTCTATAAACACACCTCTAATTTACGCGTACAACAAATTTCCCACCACAAAGCTCATAAAATTCAAAATTTTAAGGTTGTGGGTTTTTGAAGAATTCATTGGATTTGTGTGAGAGGATGTTTGAAAGGAGTAGGGCAACCATTTAGGAGCTAGTTGAGGATAATTTGGGAGCACTTGGAAGAGTTACATTGGATTTGCGAGCTTGAATTGTCAAGACTCCCAACAAGAGAACCTAGTGCATACCAAGTGTTTGAAAAAGGGATGTTAGCTCTTGTTCTATGGAGGACATGTGTATTGCATTTTTCATGACATTGCATGCATATTTATGTTTATGTTTTCAATTAGGAACTTGTATTCTATTGTCTTTATTGCTTTTGTGTTTTATGTTATATGTTTTATTGGATCTTATATGAGACTTATGTGCTTTAAATGATTTGATTGATGCAATGCTTTGATTGATTTGCAAGATTGTTTCTTTGTGAATTGTATATTGCATATGCTTCATCATTTTGATTACCCCACTTATTGTGTTTTGTTGCTAGTTGTATGTTTACTTGATTGGTTAGATTGGGTTAACACTTTCTTTCTAGGTCAAGTTTAACTAGTGCACTTCATTTTTCCAAAATTTTAAAAACAACATGTTTTTGAATTTTTGTCAAAATTCACTAGCACACACATTGAGGACAATGTGTCTTTTAAGTGTGGGGGAGGAATTAGTCTATTTTAAAGATCCATTTTTCTATCCTATTGACTAGAGATAATTTTTTCAAAATTTTTGGAGAAAATTGAAATTGATTTTATATTTCTAATAAGTTTTATTTAATTTCCATGAGTATAGTTTTATGTGATACTAATTTAGTTTAAATACATTGAAAATATTTTTTAAATTTTCTTATGTATAATGTCATTCTTTGATTGAGAAGTGTAATTGATAAGGTTTTTCATACCCAAAAATGTTTTGACAAGTGTATTACTTCTAGAACTTGTGTTGAATCTTGTGTACATTTATAGAAGTATTTGTCATGGATATGTCAAAGACAAAGTGTGGGGGTATGAAGGGTAGCTAAATCTTTTAAAAAGAAGTGTTTTCATGAAAAGAGGAGAAGAGATATTTCTGCTTAAAAAAAACAAACAAAAAAAAAGAAAAAAAATTTCATTGTTGTCACTCTTTTCTTTAACAAAAGGAGTTAGTAACCCTTGGAAAGAGAATAAGAGACATGGAATGCGGAAGTATTGTCCCTCTTGAAAAAAATGAGTGTTAGTAACCTCAAAAGAAAAAGGGCTTTAGTAACCCCTAATCATAAACACTTCTAAGGTTAATAACCTTGCTTTCTTAAAAATAAGCCATCCTTTTAACCCATTATAATCTTTGATGAATATCCATGATATTACTTTCTCTTTGGATATAGATGTATATACAAGCCTATGGTAAGCTTTCCTTGTCAAATTCATCCAAGGTATGTTGATTTTAGAAATTACATTATTAATTGGAGTGGTTTTGTGCATAGTTGAATTGAATCTTATGGTCTTTGTATTTTTACTAACTTATATTGCATTTGATTAGAAAATGTAGATTAAATTTTTAATTTGTTAGAAGTGTTTTGTTTTCTAAAGTTTGATATTTCTAGTCAATGCTTTCATAATGTTTGTGGGTGTCGTTCTAGTTAAGTAAACCCTTAAGAGACTATAATTCCTCTAATGTAGACAAACATTGGTTTAAAGGCTTGCGTCACGCGCTAAGTGCCGCCGTACACCTACGAAAGTGGAATCAATATGTTGTTTAGTTTAGCCATTAACCATTTTTGTTTTCTTAGGATTAACCTTAGTTTGCTAGGGACTAGCAAAGCTTAAGTGTGGGGGAAATATGATCAGACCAAAATTATGCATATTTTTATGGTCATTTTCCTATGCTTTTTGGGTATTTTATGCTTGATTATGCCTTATATTTGGTATATTTGTGTTTATAGGTGCTAAAGTGAAGAAAAGTGCAAAATCACCAATTTTGTACCTTTTTGAAGCCTTTTTGGATGATTATTTACACAAATATTTTCTAAGGACAATTTGGATGAAGAATGGAGCCAATATGATCGTGATTGAAGAGCTTGAAGAGTCAATTTTATCATCATAAGATTGATCTTCAAGAGTTTGAAGCAAAAGAGCAAAGCTGAGTTTCAAGGCAAGAAGACATGTCAAGTGGCGGACAAGCACTGGAGCACATGGGTCCTAACACAAACCAGGTGGGGCGCCAGGCTTGGGACATGGGTGCCCGGCGCCAGGCTTGGGACATGGGTGCCCAGGTGGGGCGCCAGTCGGGCATGCCACCCAGCCAACACATGGGCACTGGCGACATGGGGCCTGAGGCCAACCACGTGGGCGCACAAGCCTGACATGGGCACCCAGGGGGAGTCGGGGCCAGCCATGCGCACGCGCCAGCATGCCATCACGCGTCACTTCTTCTTGAAGCTTCTCCAATTGTTTCCGATTTGGCGACCCTTCTGTATTTTGGCTATAACTTTTGATCCAGAGCTCCGAATTTGGCAAATGAGTAGCCGTTGGAAAGCTAACTCCAAGATCTACAACTTTTGTGTTTCAGTCGAAGCCCAGTTCTGACGTTATCATGGACGAAAATGCCCTCGAAGTTGCTAGACAGTAGCAGTTTGGGCCAGACTTGCGATTTTCACCAAATTAAGCCCATAAAGCTTATTTGGACTGACCCAAAGTTGTAACCAAGAGCCTAAAACATCCCTAGGGTTAGTTTAAGTGTTCTCTAACTCTAAATTAAACCCTAGGCAGCCTCCTATAAATACCCACCTTATGTGATAGAAAAACCGAAGCTACCTAAGCACTAGTTTTCTAGGTTTTAGTTTTTCTCTCTTTTCTTTGTGGCAGCCGCCCAACTACTTGGTGGTCTGTAAGTACTTCTTTTCTTTATGTTTCTATGGATTCCACTCAATTCATGAGTGGCTAATCCTTTTATACTTTCTTTCCTTTGGTGAATTCAATCAATTATATATGGGGAGATCTTTGTTCTTCATAATTTGATTTATCTATTGAATATGTTTCTTAATATCTGTTCTTAATCTTATACTAGCATGCTTTGAATTGGTTCACGACTAATCTTGATAATTGTGTTGGTTATTGCTAAATCAATTCTGGTGAGATGACTAGTAACTAGGTTGATTATTTGTAGTAAATTGAGTACTGTGATATGGCTCAATGAGATTGTCAAACCTTATTAGATCTAGGCCGTGATAAGCTAGAAACAATAAGTTTGGTTATATTTATTTATGCATGTGAGAATTAATTGATGTGCTTAATGCTTTATTCTTTACAAATCTTAAACCATGATGGCAAAGATGAGTTTAGAATAATTGGGGTTTATCGCTGTGAAATGGGTAAATCTATTTAGCATGTTAGGGTTTTCCCTAGACCAATTATTCAACAGTATTCGTCTTAATAGTGAAGGGTTGATGTTTTATACTTAATAATTCTTAAAGAGTGACAGAACAGATTTATTGAGGTAAAATTAGATCTGGATTTATTTTGATGATGTTAATCAAATGAATATGTTTTGTGTCGATGATCTATATCTTAATTGATTGATTTCAACCATTGGAAAGGAAGCATGATTTTAAATTAGTTATTTTTATTTCTTTAAAAGTGTTTTCTTTATTTATTGTTTTCTTGTAGTCTTTAGGTTTATTTTCATAACTCTCTTTGTTCAAGTGTTCTTTATAGATTAGGTTTAGAAATTGATTTTTCAGTTATTCCCTCCCTGTGGGATCAACCGTTACTTATCCTATCTACTTAAGAGAGGTTTTGTGAGGTATTTTATTTTGTGATTCGTTGACGACCGGTCAGCTTCAAATTTGGGAAAAGTGCATTGATCAAGTCTTTTTTTAGGATTTTCATACTTTATAACCATCTGATCTAGTAAAAGTATTAAATTATCATTTTTTGTTGGTTTTTCTCCATCACCAATCTCAGAGGAATTTTCCAAACTCTTGGTCTTCTCTTGCTCTCATGTTCTATTTCAATCTTAGTATCTCAATTTTTGGCCAAGGGTATGATCTGACCAAACTTTGATTGACCGTTTGTTCTTTTGTTGCTCGAGGTACAACTGGGAGCACTTGTCTGAAATCTCCTCTAAAAAACAACAACCTTTCCTCTAATTGGTTCTTTGTTACTCATCATATCTTGAAGTGTTTTGTCCACATATTCAATTGCAAACTTTCTCGCCATTAGTGTTTCATCCCATATTATTAGTCTTGCTCTTCTTAATAGTTCAACCTTAGCGCTCTGTTTAGAAGTCCTACATATACTCATTTCTGTCGGACTTAATGGAATGTCAAATCTCGAGTGTGCTATTCTTCCTCCTGGCATAATCATTGCCACTACTTCAGATGTTACTGTAGCTAATGCAATCAGACCTCTTGACTTGTGATGATAATTGAAGTCATATTAATCAGATAATTTTTTTTTTAAAAATGTGATATTGATGCTGTTAATTATATTTTTAAAGGATATGTGATTATTACCTTCAATATTGCATGATATAGAAATGTTTTGCCTATTCCTCCAGACCCGTGCAAAGAAAAAAATAACCTTCTCTCTTTCTTGATTCAACTTGATCTAAGATAGCGTGGAATGCAATCTTTTGGTCTTCATTTAACTTATTTGCAGCTTGTAGATCTTTCGATGGAGTTTCAACGCTCAATTCATCTGGACTTTCCTTATGTGTTGAATTCCTGATGTACAAATTTTGAGAATCTATCTCTGACAAATCAAACTACTTGATGTCTTTTCACATGCTTTCAAGATAATAGGCAATAATCTGTAATGTGCAAGCAATTTGTGTCTGGACTGAGTTTCCATGCATTCTCTTATAATCATCATACATTGCATCGTGATAGTCATTCTATAGTTTCCTCACATCTGACGGTTCACAATGCACTAATAAAGTCGCGAATAGCCTTGTTAGTTCATTAGGCATTTGAAATGTTACTCCTTCCATCATGCACTCTGATATACTCTGAATTATCTCAAAATTTATTAATTTTGTGAGCAATTGGGTTTTTAACACAGTGATCCAATTAATTATTTTGTCTCATTTGCGCCAGTAGGCCCAATAGGCCCGTTTGAGTCTATGAAGCCCAAATTACCAAGCCAAATGTCTTGAAGCCTAAATATGATATTCTTGGTCCCAGTTTGTTAATATGGAAGCCCAAACAAGGAGTGAAAGTCCAATCAGTAATTATGATGCAGTAATGATTAAGTCATGATGCAACATTGTTAAATTGATATAGTCACTTCGGATGGATCAAGGGGACGGTTTGCACGAGTATGTGTGGAGTTAGATTTAACCAAGCCGCCTGTACCAGTGGTGGTGGTGGAAAGCAAGGATGTGAAAGTTGAATATGAAGGATTGTCACTCATCTGCTTTGAGTGTGGGATTTTTGGTCATAGAAAAGGAGATTGTTCAAAATCCAAGGTCCAAACAAGTCAGCCAGACTCCCCTGAGATGGTGCCAGAGACGCAGGTGGAGAAGGAGGAACCTGGGTTTGGGCCGTGTATGTTAGTACAACGTCGGCGTCGGGTTACTGCGGTGCAATCGAAGGATGTGAAAGGAAAGTGGGAAAAGGAGAAAGTTATGGAAAACGCTGTGGAGCAGCAATTGCGGCATGATTCTCGGAGTATGAAAGATCCTGTTGGAAAGAAATCTGGGGTAGTTAAATCCGTATGGAAGGAAAACGATTCAAATCGAAGCAAGAATTCCGCTGGGAATAATGATAAGGAAGTTGTCTCTGATAAGCCGGCTTATGTGGCTCATTCCAATGTTAAATTTAAAAGTGCGGGAAAGGCTGTATTCAATTTAAGTGAGCATTTGGCTAAGGACCCGTTGATGGGCTTTACGTTTCAGGCTGAAGGAGTGGGTAATGGGCCGAGTATAGAGTCATCTTCTTCTACTAAAAAGGGGAATAAGAAGGGTAATAAGTTAGGAACTCCTAAGGAGTCTCCAAATTCAGCCCATGTAGTAAATGGGAATCAGCAAAAGGGGCGTGTAGTGGTGATTGATGAACCTAAAGTTCAGGCTACTGATACTGATTTTGTAAAGATGGATGCCCAGGTGGTGGTTGATAAGGGTGGTACTTCGAGTGTGGTTGGTGATAAAGCTGATTTGATGAATGAAGACCCGTTGGAACAATCAAATAATGTCGAGGAACCCAGGTCTTTGGTGGGAGCAGATTGCTCCATGGAAGTTGCGGATGGTGTTAACCAGCCAAATCCTTCTGCTTATCCTTAATGAAGATTATTGTGTGGAATAGCAGGGGTGTCGGTTATGCTAAGTTCCGACGGACGGTGAGGGAGTTGTATGTGACTTATAAGCCGGATATTTTGTGCTTGGTGGAAACTAAGGCAGATTCAAATTCGGTTAAAAAGGTGCGCAAATTGCTCAGGTTTTCGAATTGTTTTGGAGTTCCTACGGACGGTTTGGCTGGGGGTATCGTATTGTTTTGGAATTCTAGCAATTTAAAGTTAGATGTTATTGGTGCCACTGATCAATGTGTTCATACAGAGGTTGAGGTAAACTCTATTAATCATATTATTTCTTTTGTTTATGTGAGACCTCAGGGGAGTTGGAAGGATAAATTTTGGGTGGAGTTGTGTGATTTTGCCCATTTTGTTTCCGCTCCATGGTTGGTATTAGGAGATTTTAATGATTTTGCTACTTTGAATGAGAGGGTGGGAGTTGAGAGAAAATATGATCGAGCTAAAATTATGCATGTTTTTATAGCTATTTTTATATACTTTTTACTCCTTTTATATGTGTTTTTACCCTATTTTGCTAGTATTTGTGTTTTTAGGTCTTAAAGACAAGAAAAGTGGAAACTTATTGTTTTTCACTCTTTTTGGAGCTATTTTAGTGACTTTTTACTCAACTATGGACTTAGTCATTTGGAATGAAGATTTGAAGATGCGAAGTTCATGATTGAAGATATTTTGAAGATTTAAAGACAATTGAAGAATTAATTCAAGAAGTGAAAATTGAAGATTTGGAGCTTATTTGCAAAGGATTGAAGCCAAGTCTTGAAGAAGCCCTGAAGTTGAGGATTTTTGGATAATTTATATGGGAATATACTCAGCCCATATAAACCTATAATTGGAGTTAAAATCCCAATTTGTAGGCCTAATATCCAAAAGAATATCCAAATCCCGCAATAATCCCTCAGATTTGCGATATAAGCCCGGTTTCAACGCAGTCTTCGTAGAAAGGCCATAATTTTCTGCTCAGATGTCCGTTTTAAGCCCATGAGTAGCCGTTGGAAAGCTAACTCCGAGCTCTATAACTTTCTTTTGAAGTGCAAATCCCGGATCTGCCATCTTCAAGCCCGAATTTGACGTCGAAGTTCCTGCCAGATTCCAGAAAATTCCAGAATCCTCTTTTGACTTGGATTATACTCTAGGATGACACCTAATCCAACTTGGACTCTAAGTTAGCCCCTAAACCGTCCTGCCCTATTCCTCCACTATAAATAGCCATCTCCTGTATCACAAATCACACAACTTTACACCTCACAAATTTTAGATAATTCTCTTTTTCTACCTTTCTTTAGTGTAGGTTTTTCTCTAGTTTTAGAAGGGGGAAGTCGACACCCTCTCTAGCCATAGAGTGGTGCGACGTCCCTAGGGTTTCAAGTAGGAGAAATCGTTCCTCCTTTGTTCTGTAAGTATTCTTATGCCTCTCATGGATTTTCCTAAGTCCATGAGTAGCTAAATCCTTAATACTTCTGATCCTTTGGTGATTTCAATCAATTGATTATGGTGAGATTTCTATACTTATAATTTTGTGTTAAGTTCTTGATGATAGTAGTCAAAACCCTGTTTTATTTTATGATTCTGAATCTTATTTGAGTTATGTGGCAACTAACGATGTAAGAGGAAGATCTATGGCTAGATCAAGCTTAGAATTGACCACTCAAGTTTGATTGTTTGTAGCGAATCAGGTTTGTTTGATCGCAGCCTGATGGGTGTTTGTCTATCGGAGGGCGAGAAATTTCTCTTCGTGTGGTTCTACTTTGTAGGCATGTGTGTAAAATTAACTATTCTTAATGCTTTGTTCTTAAGTGATCTTTAAGCCCTGAGAAAGTAATCGATCGCTGAAGGAATAAAAGGGATAACTGCAGTTTTGATCGGCCTCTTATCTAAAATACATGTTGGGAAACCTATATCAGTTGTCAGTCAAGAATAAGATGCTTAATTCACCTTTTAAGTCGATGATCCATAGTTAATCTGATTGAATCATACCATCGAAGAAGAAGTATGCTTTATAATTATTGTTTGCTTTATATTCTGCTTTAGATTTAGATTTAGATTTAATTTGCTTTGCTTTATTTTTAGTTTAATTGTTTTCTTTATAATTAATTTCTTTAAATCCCCTGTTTTCTATTTGATTTTTGGAAAAGATTTTTCTTTATTCTCTATCGTTCATCACATAACCCTTCTCTGTGGGATTCGACCCCTACTTGCCCTAGCTATTTTAGTTAGTTTATTGTGGGGATTATTTTTATGGTCATTGACGACACGATCAAATTCTCAGGATGTTTTTCGGCGTATTGTGAAGTTTAGAGATAGGTGGTCCGATTGTGAATTTCTTGATATGGAGTCTTCAGGGTGTAGATTTTCTTGGGTGAGGAAGGTTGGTGGTCAAATTGTTCTACAGGAAAAGCTGGATCGAATACTATGGAATGTTAGAGCCCTTCAAAGCAATCTTGCGGCTAAATGTTTAATTCTTCCCCGGCTTTGTAGCGACCATCATCCTATTATGTTTGATTCAAATTGTGTACAAGGAGGGAATAAAGATAATAGGCCATTTCGGTTTGAAGCGATCTGGCTTTCTCATCTGAGCTTTAAGGAGATGTTTGCATCAGCTTGGAGCAAGGGTGAGTTAGATTTGTCGGTAGCAATTGATCAGGTTGGAAGGGCTGTTAAGCATTGGAAACATGTTGTTTTTGGAGATGTTTTTAAACGAAAAAGAAGCTTAGTTTCCAGGATTCGTGGAATCCAACAGAGTTCAGATTATGGGTTCTCCTCTTTTCTACAGGAGTTGGAGATTACTTTTCAAATGGAGTATCATGAGGTTCTCCGGCAAGAAGAGTTGTTGTGGTTGCAAAAAGTCTAGACTTGATTGGGTGCAATCCGGGGAACGTAATACTAAGGTTTTCCATCTTACTACCTTGGTGCGGAGACAAAGGAATGTTATTGCTAGTCTTAAGGTGGATGGTAATTGGGTTTTTGATCAGGGCGAATTGGGGAGGCATGCAGTTGATTTTTATACCTCTCTTTTCTCTCATAAAGATTGTGAAAGATTGGAGGCTGTGTATGATTTGTTTAGCTTAAAATTGACCGAGGAAGATCGTGTGCAGCTGAGTTATCCTGTGACGTCGGAAGAAGTGAAACTTGCTACTTTCTCTATGAAGGGATTAAAAGCACCAGGAGTGGATGGTATCCAACCGGTTTTTTATCGGAGAAATTGGGATATTGTCTGTGATACTTTGTTTAAGTTTGTTGAGAAGGCATGGGCGGATCGTAGGGTGAATATGGAAGTGTTGAAAGCTCATATGGTTTTAATTCCGAAGTGTACTCGGCCTGTGTCTCTTAAGGATTTTCGGCCTATCACCTTGCTGAATACTTCTTATAAAATTCTCTCGAAGGTGATTGTGAATAGATTGAGACCTATTTTGCGGAGGATTATTGGGCCTTTTTAGAGTAGTTTTTTGCCTGGTAGAAGTTCTTCGGATAATATTTTGATTTCCCAGGAGGTGGTACATTCTTTGATGGGTTGTAAAGGCCGAAAGGGTGGTATGATATGTAAAGTGGATTTACATAAGGCATATGACAGTATCTCTTGGAGCTTTTTGCGAGAGGCACTTGTTTTTTTCCATGTGCCGAGGGGACTTATTGAACTTATTATGTTTTGTGTCTCTAACATGGATATTGCAGTGATTTGGAATAGGGGGAGCCTTCCTTGTTTTCGGCCTGAGAGGGGTCTCCGTTAGGGGGATCCCCTTTCTCCTTAATTGTTCATTTTAGTGATGGAGAGGTTATCTCATATGATCCTTGAGAATGTGGAGATGAAGTTATGGAAGCCAGTCAAGGTTTCAAAATCTGGGCCAGCTGTATCACATTTGTTTTTTGCAGATGATCTAATGTTGTTTAATGTGGCTGAGGAGGGACAAATTGAGGTTGTACGGGATGTTTTGTCTGATTTTTCCAAAGCTTCGGGTTTGCACGTGAATCTTGATAAATCGAAGCTTTGGATCTCTCTTAATATACCTAGAGATAAGGCTCGTTGTTTAAGTCGGTTAAGTGAAATTCTGCTAGCTTCGGAGCTTGGTACGTATTTGGGAGTTCCAATTATTCATGGTAGAGTTACGAAGAATACGTATCAACATGTTATTGATTGTGTTCTTAGTAAATTTTCTAATTGGAAGGGTAAAGTTCTAAGTTATGCTGGCTGAAGAACATTGATACAGTCTATATTGTGTTCCCTTCCTATTTATACTATGCAATTTGCGTTGTTACCTGTGTCTGTGTGTAATAGGTTGGATCAATGCAATAGGAACTTTCTTTGGAAAGGAGAAGCTGATAAGTCTCATGGGCATCTAGTTGCTTGGGATCGAGTTTGTAGGCCTAAAGGGAATGATGGTTTAGGCTTAAGGAAATCTCGGAGTTCAAATATTCCAATGTTGGCAAAGAAAGGTTGGAAATTGCAAACTCGTGTTCCGAATTTATGTACTGAAATTTTTCAACGGAAGTATTTAAAGGGGGTGCAGTTTGTTGATTCGTTAAATCATGGGAGATGTTCTTCTACTTGGCGGGGTATTTTGCAGACTAGAGATTGCATTCGGCGTGGTACCCGTTGGAGAATAGGTGACGGGAATGGTGCTAAGTTTTGGACCCATTGGTGGGTTGGACAGAAACCGTTGATTGAGATAGTGCCGGATGATGTGGAGGTGAATAGGGATTGCATGGTTTCTTCGTTCATCAGCCCTCAAAAGGAGTGGCAGTTAGATTCGGTTCTTGACTTCCTTCCTCCGAACATTATTGAGTCAATTCGTGCCATTCCAGTTTTTATTTCGGCAAGGGAGGGTGATAGATGTGTATGGGGTTCAGATAAGTTGGGTCAATTTACAACCAAAAGTGGCTATAGGGCATTGATGCATTATGATGATGAGGAGGAGTGGAGAGGGAAATGTTCATAGCTTTGGGGGATACCTGTGCCGAAGAGAATTCGCTTTTTTTGTTGGCTTTTATACTTTGATAGTTTGAATACTATGGATGTGCTTCGGCGAAAGGGCATTATCCAGGAGTCAAAATGTCAGTTGTGTGAAGGAGATGGTGAATCTGCTGAGCATATTTTTCAGTGCTGTCCATTTGTGAAAGGTATTTGGGATTGTGTTGGAAGAAGATTTGGTATTGTCACTGATGCTAACCAATCGTTTCGGGATTGGTTGTATACTAATTGTTCGAAGTCCTCTCAGGTACGGGATGGTTTTTATTGGAATTCTTTTTTCCCCATTTTATTATGGAGCCTGTGGAAGGCTTGAAATGATCTAGTGTTCAATGGTAAGTCTCCGAGCGCGGAGCAAACCATTTCTTATGCAGTGAAACTTACATTGAAGGCAGGTCGGGTTTTTTTTCAATGTAAGGATTTGGGTGGTTCGTCGGGTTTGTTGATTAAATGGCAATTTCCTCCAGATGGTTATTATTTGCTTAATTCAGATGGTTCCCGTCGACATGGTGACAATCATGCTACTGCCGGAGGGCTCATTCGGGATGCTTTGGGTGACTGGGTGGTTGGCTATATGGTTAATATTGGGTACACAAACAGTTTAGAGGCTGAATTGTGGGGTGTTAGACAAGGCTTGTTAGTGGCAAAGGAGAGACATCATTTTCCTTTAATTGTTGAATTGGATGCTGCGATTGTGGTGCACTTTTAAAGAATTCTATGCTGGATTCACATCCCTGTTATACCCTAGTGAAGGATTGTTTGGAACTTCTACAAGGTGACTGGATTAGAGAAGTTAGACATATTTTTCGAGAAGGAAACAGATGTGCGGATTGCTTGGCTTCTTTGGCCCACGAGATTGATTAGGGAGTAGTGATCTGGGATCATCCTCCGGTTCAAGTTCTTCCGTTACTGCAAGATGACAGAAATGGAGTTGGCATTGTACGACCTTAGTCGCTAGTCTTTACATATCTTGTTCATTTGTATAAAAAAAAATCTTATTCAAAGGAGGACTTCACAATAGCAGTTTTGGAAGAAAACTCATAACTTTTTATCCAGAGTCCAGAAAAATGCAAATGAGGTATCGTTGGAAAGAGGATTCTAAGATCTAAAACTTTTATGTTTACCTCAAGACCTAATTTTGCCGATCCTGTGGACGCTTTTTCCCTTGAAATTTCTAGATAGAATTGATCTTCTCCTAAATAGACTTGGAGAATATTTTGGACGAAAATTCAGATGCTAAAGCTGATGTGGAGTATTCCTATTGCTCACGTTGGATGCTAATTAATGAGTATAATCTAAATTTTCATTATTAAAATAATGGAATAATTAAAATATTTTTTAATAATGACAAGTTCGAAATATATTACAAAAAAGGGTATAATCGAAAAACATAAAGTTTCCCCTTATTCGTACTTTTATATATAATATAGACAGATAGATTAAGAAAATATTTTTGTTACAATAATTAAGCTTTCGCTCTAATTATAAAAATATTTTATTTTTTAAAGGGTAAATATTAAATTTTAAGACCCATCATCATAGGGTTTTAGAAAAGTAAATTTAAACACCTATTAATAAGGTTTAGCCCTAAATAACAATAATTGATTTATCTTAAGGGTAAATTCTAAAATTTAACACAATCATTCTAGAGTTTTAGAAAAATAAATTTAAACACCAATTAATAAAGTTTAACCCATTTTTAATTAAAGCGTAATTTTTTCATACTAGCATTCTTGTAAAATTGTTAAAAGTTTTTTTTTTTGCCAGATAATTGTTGAAAGTTAAAACATTACAAGTTGATCGGCCGCGTTGACGCTACGAGCATTTTTTTTAGAATCGTTATTTATCACCATGCATATATTAAAAGATTTTCGCCGTAAATTTAAAATGGAGACAGTGCTTTGACGTGTTTATTGGGATTGTTCTATTTCCTTTTTTAAGGAACAAATTTTTCAAAAAATAATCGACGGAAAAAAAAACAAAGTCAATATATGCAGCACTTGTGGAATTGACAAATGGGATGGTGTAATTAACTAAATCTGATTCAAGAAATCTTGTAATTACCAAAAGGTAAGGGGAAAAAAGGAAATAAAGGAATATGATATTCGACTTTTTGAGTCATTTGTCAATTGAGAAATGAGTAAAAAGTTTAGTTATTTAATCCCCTCAAGAATCAAAAGTTAGGAAATTTAAGTAATTTACCAAGTAGGTAAAGACGAAAAAGATTAGTTCTCTAGCTCATCATCAATCCTTGATGGTGATCTTTTAGTAATTCCACTACTCTATTCAAGTCCATTGATAAATGACCAAAAATATTACTTATTTAATCCCCTCAAGAATCAAAAGTTAGGATATTTAAGTAATCTGCCAAGTAGGAAAATCTCTAGCTCCAAAAGCAAGCCTTGGTAGAGATCTTTTAGTAATTCCACTACTATATTAAAGTCAATTGGGAAATGACCAAAAAGTCTAATTATTTAATCCCCTCAAGAATCAAAAGTTAGGACATTTAACTAATCTGCCAAATGGAAAAAGCCGAAAAAAATTAGTTCTCTCGCTCCTCATTAATCCGGAGTGAGGATCTTTTAGTAATTCCATATGTTTATTCAAATAATATATAGTGTATATATATATATATATAATATATTTTAGGAGCATTTAACGTGAATAACTTAATTGCACTTAGAACCCGTTTGAAAGTTTCTATAGAAAGTAAAAAGGTAGAAAGTTTTTCTATCAAAAGTTTAAGACTAAAAAGTTTTTTCTTAAGAAAATACTTTAACATGTTTGTTTAACCTCTAAAGTCTAAATTAAATTCCTAAGAAAGTAAAGTTAAATTTATTAAAATACCCTTTGATGAATATTTTAAATTTAAAAATAAGGCCCTTTTAAGTAATTTTGTCTTAAATTACTTTCATGAGAAAAGTGAGAAAGTATTTGGGTCAGTTAAACTTTCTTACCCTAAACTTTCTCTTAAAAAAAATAACCAAACATGTTAAAATTATTTCATACCCTATACTTTCTATAGAAAGTGATTAAATTACATCAAAACAAACGGTTCCTTAATATGAATAAGAAAATCTTACTAAAAGTATATGATTATGAACTTAATTATCTTCATTTAAGAGGCTAAAACCACGATAATTTAGTAGAGCATAGTGTAGAGAACGTGAGGAGGATGGGAAGGGAGACAATGACATTGTGGATGCAATGATGACGATGATGACAGAATATTTTTTAGATCCAAAACCGAAACAATTTTGTCACAATTTGAGAAAGATAAAGAGAAAGTCTGGTGACGTTGGGCCAAGGCAGAGGGTATCCCCCACACGGCCACACCCACTCCAACTGAAGGCTGAAGCAATACCGCCACGACCACTAGCGTGGTTCTGCTGCCAGCTCATCGCCTTCACACCAAAAAGTTGTTTGTGGGCCTAACTTCTTTTTTGCCCCCCCACCTTCAAACCCAAACCAAACTCTAGACTTCATCCTTTCCTACAATTTTTTTTGTTAAATTCTTATTCTCTGTTTATATGTTTATATAAGTGAATATTATCTTAGGACTTACCTCTCTCCTAATTTTACCGTCTAATATCTCACATAATCTGATATTAGAAAGAGTTGCTATAATTTCTAAAACTATATATATTCAATAATATCCTAAAATAAAGAATTTACCTTATAAACTTTTCTTATTTATAAACTTGAAATTAAATTCATTTTTTAATTATAAGGCAAGATACCATGCGGTAAAAACAGGCAGTGTAAAAAATATTTTTTTATCTTATTATATATAATAAGATTTTCACATTTAAAATATTAAAAGAATATTAACCGATCGATGTCACTATATGTTGGACATTTGGGCTTTGTACCCATGATGGTCCAGCTTAACAAAAGAAAATTATCTTGGTAATTTAATCAGAATTAAATTAACAAGAATAATTAGAGATAATTTATTGATAATTCATTGAGAATTAAATCAGAAATTATTTAGACGGTATTCAACTAGAATACAACCTGTCACATATAAGAAGAGAAAAACTACGTTAGTTTTTCACTCCACTAATTCCATCAGAAAGTTGAGAACTTTCCACACACAAGAAAGGTTCTCCCTCCATTGTCAAGAGAAGAAGGTTTTTGCACTGTGAAAAGTGACAGTTCTGTTCATCTCTATAGTAGAAGTCCATTACGAGTGTTGGAGATCAACAAACGTCATAATGGACCCTGCAAGATCCTAGTTTTGGTTTCTTTTAGCTTCCAGATTTATTTGTTACATGATTAAACTTATTTCTTTTAATCCATGTTTTGATTGCTATGCTCCGTATATGATGTTTTTTCTACACTATATAAACCTTGATCAAGGTTTGGATCATTAAAAATTTCACAATTTAATTTCTAGCATTAGACAAATTGGTATATAACTTTATAGACATAAGAACTGTGGATTGATGCCGCATGTATAAGAAATTGAGAGAGGATAATATGATGGAAAACAAACTTGTAGTTTGTATTGTATTGTGTTGTACAAAAACTGAGTATTGGTTACAAGATTACAAGATCACTCTACATGAATTTAAAATTTTGAAATTCAAATTACAACTTAAATTAAATTATAGATATGATATAACCTACTATCCTCTCATATTCTCCTCAAGATGGAGTCACCATGGTAGACTCCAATCTTGAAAACCCTGTAACAAAATCTCTGTTGCAGAAGTGGTTTGTTGAGCATATCAACATATTGATTTTCCGAAGTAACATAACATACTAAAAGTTGTTCTTCATTAACTTTATCTTGGACAAAATGAAAATCAATAGAGACATGGAAAGGAACCATCAATGTAGTTAGCCAAATCAAAACCAAACAAGAGAGCATCAAATTGCGCCTTCCAAGAGGATAAATTTTTGGATTGAAATGGTTAACAAGGTGGTTTAAAGTTGTTACATCTCAAGGAACTAATCTTAGTCATATTGAAATTTGAACTTGGTGAATTCGGCAATCGAAAAGACCAGAAATTATTAGCAAATTAGCTAGTGATTAACAGAAGAAGGGAAAACACGAAATTGTAGTTGAATAATGGTGAAAACAAACATTGCTACTACTCTTAACCAATGAAAACATGGAGGTGATTGCAGGCCTAAGAATAGCTAACATTACAAGTTGTAGGTTATAAGAATTAATAAAACTGACAGTAAAGCAGATTAACATAGTTAAGCAAATACATATAATTGGATGGTATTATATAGGCAACCTAGCTGCTGATAGCAGCACAAAATCTATGCTCCTTGGCCGATTTCCTTAGCTTGAAGTTCTTCAAAATAATTGGCTTCTTCAATAGAATAGTGCCTTGCACATTGCTATAGCAAACTCAACATGAGCAGCTTGCAACTAACCAAGTGCTGACAAAATTGGTGGCAGTCAGTTTAATAGGAAGCTGTCGAGCTTATGACAATTGGCATCCTTAGGGTAAAGGTAGTAGAATTAGCAATGGTGATAGTATTAGCTATTGATCAAAATGGAGAATGTTTAATCGAAATAGGAATGGCAAAAAGGGAGAAGATTTCTAGGATCAACAAGAGACTTGTGAAAGTAGGAGACTATCTACCTTATAGGAGATTGCAAGGGGATAATATGATGGAAAACAAACTTGTAGTTAATTTGTACTAGATATTATCCCCGCGAATTCGTGTCGGGTTTTTCGGTTTATG